TTGTTTGTTTGTTTGTTTGTTTTTTATAACTGTGCAAAGTGGATTTGCTCTGCCCCGTTCAAATAAACCCACACAATAAATAAGAGAGCTCAGACTGTAACTTTCTCACATACAATCAACACAAGGGGAGAACTTAGAAAAAGTCCTGTGTTCTTTCCACGAGAAAACTGACATCTTAGGGTACAATATTTACACGTTCTGGTCCAAAGCTGCTGGGCCCAACTTTCCCCCCCAGGCCAGGGGAGTGTCCCCGAGCCCCAGCTCTGCTGTTTCTCTGCTGAAGCTCCCCAGGGGGGGTTCTGGAGAACATTCTCACCCTGACACCTGGCTTGGTGCCTCCAGTTTGGTACAGGCTGGCAGTGCAGCTCATCAGAAGCAGGAAAAATGAACAAAAACCCTGGAAGGTGCCGTCTGAATACCTGTGCAAACATTCTCCCACAGCACCTGTCTAGCAGCAAACTGGCAAAACAAACAAACTTCTTCTGGGGCAGGTCAGTAGTTTATCACCTCTCTCAGTCATCAGGTTCTTCCTCAGAGAGCAGAAGGTCTTTATCTGACAGCTGGTCCGTGTTGCTGGTACTTGTTGCATCCTCCTCATCCTCGGAGCTCCCGTCGCAGGACGTGTGGAAGAGCCTCATGAGCTCCCTGAACCTGTGGGACACCTGAGGAACGAGGGGAATCCAACATCAGCAGTGGCCTGGAAGGTGTCACAGAACTGAGATTCCATGTTTCAAAGCTCGGGATGTTTCGTAATGTTTAAAAAAATATATATATAAATGCCACAGAGACATTTCACAGGAGGTTTGGTTACAAAGGAAAAGAGAAATGCAAGAGCAGCAGGTTGTTGTTCTCTCTGGAAGAACATTCTACTGATTTGCAGGTAAAATCTGGCAGTTTGGGAAGATTCAGAGACAAAACCAGGCAGATTCTTTGTGGAGGAGGAGGCTGAAGACGTGAGCAGCAGCCACTGAAACAACCCTGGTACCAAACGTGAGGCTCAAACATCTCGGGATTTCTGGCTCCAGGGTTTGTTTTGGGTTTGATATTTATTTTTTTTTAATTTGCAGCTGGGATGATTTTTCATCAAATTTAAGTTTGGGAGACTTTATATATGAACAGCACCCTCCCCCCACCCTTCCTCCCTTTCCAGCCCCTTCCCCATCCCCTGGGAGCTCTCCCAGCCAATCCCTCACCTCACTCGCCGTCTTGTTGCCCAGTTTCTGGGAGATGGCATGGAAGGTGTCCAGGTGGGCTCCTTTCTCCTGGCAGGTGGTGAGGATGACCCTGTCAGCCTCCCTGCAAAACAAGCAGCTGTAAAACAGCCCAAAAAAACAGCCATGGAATTCCAGCTCCCCCCTTCCCCACACGAGGCCCGTTCCCGGTTCAGGAGAACAATCCCTGGGCAAGGGATCCCTTCACCCCTCCTGCCACCTCCCCTCACAGGACCCATCTCTAAGCAGAGCTGCCTTTAGGGTTTTTTTGTGTTTTCAGCTGTTTTAAGTTGTTTTTTGAAGGAGAAAAAAGATCCTTTCCCAGGCTGAAGTGCTCCAGTAACAGGGGAGGACCGAGCTCTGACCGACTGCGGTCAGAGGAAACGAGGCAGGAATATGGAACAAGAGGGGGCAGGACACAGCAGAAAATGGGGATACAACAGGAAAATAAAGGATCTTCTGCAACGTGAGAGCTGAGGGCAGGAAGGGCAGGTCAGGCAGAAGTACCTGGTCCAGAGCACGACCTTCTCCCCGGTGGAGCTGACCTTGCTGTTCTTGGCACACACGGTGGCCTCGGTGACCTTCTGCTGCTGCTCCTCCAGGGCTGGGACCACCCTGGGCTCCGGCTGCTGGGGATGCTGATGCCCCTGGAGGCAGCTGTTTGCCCTTCCCTCCGTTCTGCCCTCAGGGGGAAGGTCCCCAGGGCAGGCTGTGCCAGCTGCCCCCACGCCGCGGCCACCGGCTTTGCCACCCGCCGCTGGCATCCAGCCCTGCCTGGCTTCAGCTCTGCTCTCCAGAGCCAAAGGTGGTCCCTCAAGTCCTTCCCCAGCTGGTTGTGAGGCAGGGCCAGGCCCCCTGAGGCTCTCTGGCCCCTGGCTCTGCCCTGGGCTCTGGCAGCAGCAGGATGGAGGTCCTGGCAGCCCCGGGGCTGGGCCAGAGGGAGGAGGAAGCAGCAGATCCCTGCTTGGCCCCAGGGAACCATCCCCATCCCCTCCAGGCTGCTGGGTCAGTCCCTCACTCCCCACAGTGTCTTTGGTTTCTTGAGGTAGTTTCAGAGCAGCTTTTGGCAGCTGGGCCCATCTGGGGCTGGTGGCAGCAGAGTCTCTGTCCTGGGCACCTTCCACCCCAGCACTGGCACCTTCTGCACCCTGAGCATCAGGAGGGGCAGGTCTGTCACCAGCTCCGTGTCTGCTGGAGGCAACTTTTCCTTCCAGGGGAGATCCTGAGGAGAAACCCAAACGAGGGGAGATAAAAGTGTCAGCAAGAAAAAACTCCTGGAGGTTTTAATCCCTTAACTTTTTAAAGAGATTTTTATTTTAGAGCCTAATGCTGCAAATGAGAACGGTTTGGGAGCAGCTCTGTTATTTCTTATTTGTTATTCTACCTGCACCTGTACTTCAAAGAAGACCATCTACAGTCAGTGTTCTTCAGCACTGTGAGATCTCCCTTGAGCTGTTTATCCTTATATATTTATCAAGTAATTGTGGATAAATATATATTTAATATATATATTTAATATATATTCAATATATAATTATTAATTTTAATATTTATATATGTAAATATATATTATATATTATATCTATTAATATATATTTAAATAGATTATATATTTTTTCTATATATATTTATATATATAAATAGATATATATTTTTCTATATATATAAATATATATATATTTTATATATATATATATATATATAAAAATATATATTTTCTTCAGTACCAGACTGAGGGAAAAACAAGCACCACAATTCAAAGGGCAGATTTAGAGAGGGTGGGTTTGAATTGCTGTGCTCAGATGGAAACTGGGAAAGAACCAGTGCCATGGACTGGCAGTACTGGGGGCTGGACTGATACCCTGGCAAGAGGAGCTGAACTGGACCAGTCCTGGTGAAAAGGGGGGAATATTCCCCAGGCAGGGAAGGTTTTGTTGGAGGGAATGCTCAGCAGTACACAAGAGTAAAAAAACCACAAGAGTTAAAAAAAAATGAAACAAGACGATCAGAAATTCTCATTATTCCCAATAAATGTGCACTGGAGAGGGGAGGGTCCCACACCTGGCTGGGCACAAGACTGGCACCCACCTGCAGACACAGAGTCCACCTTCCTGGGAGCAGGTCTGGGTCTGCCCTGGACGTCCTCCCCCTCGTCCCTGTTCTCCAGGATTTCTTCTGCAGGTTCCCTGGACATCCCAGAATCCTTCCCCTCGGGCTGAGGACTCGACTCCTGCTGGGCCAGGCTGGCACTCAGCTCTTGAGAATCCTTACTTTTATAAAACTTGCTGTCACACACCTGCAGACCAACCCAGAGGCACAGTCACACCCCTGGTCTGTCCATCCCAACCTCTGCTTCCCAAGCACTCCTGGCCCTGCCCAAGGCTTCACTTTGGCACTATGTTTGTTGTTGTTGTTGTTGTTATTATTATTATTATTATTATTATTATTATTGTTATTGTTATTGTTGTTATTATTGTTATTAGCAGGCACAGGTTTTCACACAGTGGCCACACCAGCATCTCCCACCCAAAAAGCTTGTTCTTAACCCAAAAGAACACCAAAAATGACATGATTTGGCACAGCAAGGAGGGGCAGCAGGGAAGTGAGGAGGAGAGAGGTGGAAAAAGGCTGGGCAGAGCTCCAGGGAGGGAGACACTGCAGGACACCTCAGGATTGACTTCCTTCCTCGTGCCATTATTTGGGAGACAGGAGGCCCAAGGATCATCCCTGCCCTGCCCACTGACCTTGCTGCTACAGTGGCTGCAGCTCCTCCTCTTGCTTTTCTTGAGCTTGGGATCACTGCTCCCCTCGTGGCAGGAACAGGGACACTCCTTCATCCCCTCCACCCACTCGACCTCCTGGAACAGACACACAGACACTCCTGGAACAGACATACGGACACTCCTGGAACAGACACACGGACACTCCTTCATCCCCTCCACCCACTCGACCTCCTGGAACAGACACAGAGACACTCCTGGAACAGACACACAGACACTCCTGGAACAGACACACAGACACTCCTGGAACAGACACACGGACACTCCTTCATCCCCTCCACCCATTTGACCTCCTGGAACAGACACATGGACACCTTTTCATCCCCTCCATCCACTCGACCCCCTGGAACAGACACATGGACACTCCTTCACCCCCTCCATCCACTCGACCCCCTGGAACAGACACACAGACACTCCTTCACCCCCTCCACCCACTTGACCTCCTGGAACAGACACATGGACACTCCTTCATCCCCTCCATCCACTCGACCTCCTGGAACAGACACATGGACACCTCTTCATCCCCTCCACCCATTTGATCTCCTGGAACAGACACACGGACACCTTTTCATCCCCTCCACCCACTCCTGGAACAGACACACAGACACTCCTTCACCCCCTCCATCCACTCGACCTCCTGGAACAGACACACAGACACTGAAGAGATGCTGCTGCTGGCAAGCAAAGCACACCAGGAGCACTCCAGCCCCCTTGGGAGGCTCCTGTCATGCCCCCCAATCTCTCCCCGTGGCCAATCCCCAGCTCAGAGCCCGGAGTGAGGCCCCCCCAGCCCCACCTTGTCGTTGTGTTGTCCCCCCATCTCCTTCCTCTTCTTGCTCCTCGCGGCCCCGTGGATCTTGGGTGGCTCGTCCTCCTCCTCCACATCTGGCAAAGACACCTCTTCAAACCCGTCAAACTGCAACAAAACAAACTCCCATCACTGCTCCCAGCTTTTGTTCTCCCCGGAGACACAAATCCTGTCCAAAGATTTGAAGAGTTTCCTTCAAACTCTTCTCTCCCACCCCACCACTTCCCCCTCCCTGGAACTGCAGCCTCTGTTTGAGTTCTCCCAGTTCAAACAAATCTCCCATCACTGGTTTTATCCTCTCTGGCCTTAGAAAAGGTTGCTGCACCTCGTATTCCTTCTCCTCTGTCCAGTTGATCTCCTCGAAGTCTCCCATCCTGCTGGCCGAGGGCCGGAGGTGGTCGAAGAACACAGAGAACTCATCCTGCAGGTGGTCGTGGCCCTTCAGCAGCTGCCACATCTGGGTCTTCAGCTGGAGGAGAGAAATCCAGAGGAAATGAGGCTCGTTCCATGTCCTCACGTTGCCCTCTGAAGGATTCTCAAAGCAAGTGGAGCATCAAAGGTTTGTTAAGAATCCAACGTCGACGTCTGTGCTTGCACTGCGACTGCTTCCTGAGTATTCTGAGGTCATTCCACACCCAGCCAGCAAATCAGCACGGAATTGCCCCTCCAGAATTCCAGGCAGACCCTGGAGGAGGCACCAAGCTAAAAATCTCACCTGCAAGGTGACAGAGGTGAGGTGGGAGGTAGGGCATCAACTGGGCAGCCCCTTGAAGAGGCAGCTCCAGCTGTCCTGGAACCCAAGGCCAGGTTGGATTGGTCCAGTGGAAGGTGTCCTTTCCCAGGGCAGGGGGTGGAACAGGAGGAGCTTTAAGGTGCCTCCCAACCCAACCCAACCCAACCCATTCTGTGGTTCTATGGATTGAGCTGTGCCCCCAAACTGCTGCCCAGGAGCAGCACACGGGGACAGGGAGCCAGGCTGGAATCACCCTCAGGGCTCTGGCAGAAAGGGGACAACTGGTTACCTCTGCAATCTCCTGGGGCAGACAGTCTGCACAGCTCTGCAGGACCTTGATGATCTTCTGGTGGTGGGCAGGGTTCTCAGCGAAGCAGATCTCCAGCTGCCGGAGGAACTTGCGGCTCTTCTCGAAGGCTTGCTGCTCCTCAAACTGCACAGACCAAACCCAGTCACCCTCACGGCCAAGAACACACTCCCAAACACCTCGAGCTGGCTCAAACAAGCCATAAAATCCCTGTCCTGGTCTTTGTTTTCCATGGCATTGATGCTCCTGGGGGGCCAAATCTGGGGGGACTCGGAGGAGGAGAAGCAACGCTTTGTGTGATCAATGTTACACCAGCTAGAAAGTTCTGCTTCAACCACCTGCACACAAAACAGGGACTGGACATTCTCAGAGAGAATGGAAGAGGTGAAACCCTCTGTTTGATCAGTGCAAGGCTGACCTGGAGGCCAGGGAACCACCACAGTTTGCTGGGTCTGCACATTGTCCCTGATGGAACTGGGAAAGGTTCCTCCAGTAACCCCGAGCAGGAGATTCACAACCCACACCAAACCTCCCAAATCTGACTGAGAAACCAGCCAGTGATTTCCCAGCCCCCTGCCCTAGGAAGAACTCTTTATCCTTTCACTCCCACAGCCATTCAAGGTTGTTTAAAAATCTTTTCTCCTCCTCTCCTCCCACCTACCAGCCCACACTCCAAAGCTTGCTCTGGCAAGAGGAAGGCAGCAAAGTCTGTGAGGAGCTGGGGCCAGTCGTGCAGGAGCTTCTGCAGGGTGGAATAGAGATCCACAGCTGTCCTCTTGTCTGTGCTGATCTCAAACTCGTAGATGACACGGAGAAAGTCCTCATATTTGCCAGGGATGTGCTGCAGCGTCTCCCGGACCTGGAAGGAGAAACAGGACTCGGTGACATCCAGGAAGGAAACAAGTTAATTATGGAATTACCTCGTGCTGGAAGGGATCAACTCATTTCACCTCTCTGCCACGGGCAGGGACACCTCCCATTAGCCCAGGTTGCTCCAACCTGGCCTTGGACACTTCCAGGGGCAGCCACAGCTTCTCTGGGCAACCTGTGCCAGAGCATCCCCACCCTGGGGGATTCCTTCCTTTAGGATTCCTTCCTAAATTCCTGTACCCTGGTAATCTTTGATCTCCTCCTCCCCAGAATTCACACAGTGCTTCCAGTGTTGTTGAGCCAACTCTTCCTTAGGGATAAACCTGAACTGCTCCTGGGAGAGGGGAACCCAACTGGGACCATGGAGCTCCCAAGTTCAGAGGGGTCTGGTGCTGTGGAGCCCTCAAATCCTTCGCTCCCACCTCCCCCACACAGGACAGAAAGCAAGAAAACCCACAGGTCAGGACAGAGAGGGTTTGGGAAGTGAAGGACCACACACGGGGGGTGTGAAGAGAAACAACCCCATCCCAGTGCTCCCAGTTGGACCTGGCAGAGCTGGGGCTCAGACCTGTGCCAGGGCACCCCCAGTGTCCCTTACCCTGGTCAGGTAGGCCTGGGCAAAGGCCAGGTCCTTCTGCTCCCTCAGAGGATCCCTCTCCAGGATGTCCTCATCATACAGCAGCAGCAGCTTCGAGGTGTCTTTGCTGGCCCGGGCCCGGCCCCGCTTGTTCCTGGTCCTGTGGGAGCTCCTGCCCTTCCCAGGGGCCTTCAGGTTCTCTCCTGGGAGGGAGCAACAGGGTGAGTTGGTGGCACACAGGGCAACATTCCAACAGAAAGGCAGCTTTCAGAGCCAGTGGTGAGTCCCTGTCTCCCCTGGAAGCCGCAGGAGCGACACAATTCCCAGGAGTCAGGTTGGCCAAAACCTTCAACTGCCCGTTTGTTTTCACAGCATCTGACAGGAGAAACCCCTGGATGCATCATTGAGCTGTTCCTCAGCTCCAACCTGCTAAAAATCACCTGAGTCCTGCACTCCAGAGCAATCATGGGGGGGACAGAGATACAACAGGAGCATCAGAGCTGGCTGTTCACTCTGCAAATGACTCTTTTAGCTCATTATTGACACAACAGAGCTAAAATCACACACAGCAAGGAAGGAAACAGGGCACTAAGAGGTGCTAAATCAAGATTTTTATGGCTTTTAGCCTCAGGAATCTGTTGGTTTAATGGGCTGAGGTCCAACTCCTCCAGTTCAACTCCCACTTTGCTGGACTCTGTTGAGGTTTTGGTTTGTTTCATTTCTTTTTCCCCATCACACAAAACTCAGCTCAGCAAAGATTTGGCTGTTTAATGTTGTTCTTACAACTGGGTAGGAGCTGACACAAAAACCACAAATCTGCCTGCAAGTTTTTGAGGCATAAACACTTCAAAATGGACTGAAGGCCCCCGGCTCACACGTACCAGGACTTCTGTGGGCCCTGATTTCACAGGACTGGGACTGAGCCACAAAATTGCAGCTCCAGGTTAAAAAGCAGCACAGAGCTCAGACACACTCAGTGAAATCAAACCAGGAAGGTTTAATTAAATTAAATGAAATTAAATTTAATGAAATTAAACCAGGCAGGGTTTAATTTCATTGCAAAACAAGGGACTCCCACTGTCCTACTTTCCATTTCCCCACTCCCCATGTCCCAGCAAACCCCCAGCCCTCACCTGCTGGAGTCCTGTGGGTCTCCACCTGGGGGGAAGCTGCCTTTGCCAAGGTGAAGGCAGATTTGGGCTCCTCTGAGGTATCTCCACACGTTTCATCGTCTTTCTGTAAACTCTCTATCCCTTCCCCTTCCTCCTCCTCCTCTTCCTCGGGCTCAGAGTTCTCTTCCTGGGAATTCTCTTCTTCAGAATCCCCTTCCTGGCTCAAACGTCTCTCTGTTGCGAGCCAAGTGAGTTTTTCCATGGTCTCCTTAGGAAGCAACGACAGAAGAACATCACATTGTTTTATTTTACTGTTTGTTTAAATATCCTTCAGCAACCCCCTCCCTGCATCACGACTCCAAGAGCCAATTTCACAGACCAGCATCTGCCCAAAATTCCACAAGGGAACAGAATTCAAAACCCTCCAGAGCCGCCCGGTTTTTTTTACTGTGAAAAATTAAAATTTCAGACTCTGCCATTCAGCAGGTCAGGCCTTGAGGTGGAGGTGGGATTCCACAAGGATCAATCTTGGCTCTTACAGGCCTGCTGGAACTGTGACCTGGAAAATAAACTGTCACTTGAAGCACCTCTTGTTAAAGAGCAACCTCGCTGAGGACTTGTGTATTTTCAACACCCTCCCTTAGCTTTGGACTTGAAATCTGCTCAAGAAAACCTGGTGTCCAATTTCTCTGTGAACAGCACAATGCCAAGGTATCTACCTGTCTATCTATCTGTCTATTTTTTTATTTATTTCCCTCCTGAAGTGTTACAGT